GGTGCCGCCCCCCAAGCCCCTTCTCGCTGGCTCGTAGCCAGCAGCGTTATCGCCCCAGCAGCGACAGACTCTGGATGGAGACGCTACCGCAGCGATAACGGGGGAAAAAGCGTGCAAGAGAGCAGAGAAACTCTATTTCTTGTAGCTGGTCCTTTGCACGGCCCAGGCTTCCTGAGCGCTGCCAGGCCTGGACGGATGCGTACTCCTCCCCCTCCCAGCACAGCTCAGAAATGTTTAGTTTCAGAAACCGCTCCTTTTCAGCCCAGTTCGCAGGCTGAGGCCTGGAGGAGCAGGATGGCTCACCCAGGCTGTGAGGGCACGAGCGTTGGGGCTGGCTAGAAAGGACAATCCCTGCAGTCGAGCGCCTTCCTCGGAGATTAGAACTCAGTCATCTTCTTATGCGTGTCTGCCTTCTTCTGCTCCCGCTGCAGGCTGGCTTCTTGGGCCTGCAGCTGCCCCAGCTGCTTGTGCGCATTAGCCAGCTTCTCCTCCAGCTGGGCTGCAGCCACGCTGTGCCTGAAAGCAAAAAAACGGCACAGCAACGTCATCCTGCACGCTGAGATCAAAGGTTCGGCACCATCGCAGGAGGGTTTGCCCTCTCCTGGGGGGTTACGTTGCAAGGGACCTGCTGAAAGCCAAGGGGAAGCTGGTTGCTCAGCACAATCTGGGCTGAAAAATGCCTTCCTGGGATGCTCAGTGGCAATGCTGCAGAGAGGGGCATAAGAAGGAAAGGATTCCAGCCCCTCTCCTCAGTGAGCATCTCCCTTCGCCACAGCCTGAGGATCCCGGACACATCTGCCAGGCTCCAAGCTGGCCTGAAGCATACGCTGTCTCCTCACTTCCCCTTAGGTCTCATCCACGTTTCCCTTGTTCCTCCTACACCTCATTTCAAGCCCACCCCTTCCCAGAAGGGCCGAGACTTCCCAGTTCACCCCACAGTCCCAAAGCGAATGTTCTCCTACCGTCCAACATTGCGCGCCAGGGCCTGCTGGATCCCCCGGATATCCCTCTGCGTTTGTTCAATCTTCTCCATCGTCTGGAAGAGGCGGACACTCAGGGCCTTCTTGGTGCTCTTGCTGGCGTGGTAGATCTCCTTGCTGTTCCGCTCCGGCAGTGCCATCCCGCCTGCCTTCTCCCCAGCACTCTTCCCTCGCAGCTTCTCGTTCAAAAAGTCAAAGACGTTGCGGGGAGGTTTGCGGCTGCCCGCAGGGGATTGTCCGGAGCTGCTTCCCTTTCCTCGGCATTTCCTCGATTTCCCTGAGTCCAACTTCCCCTGTTTCTTCTTCTGAAGCACCTCAGCACACTGGTCAAGGGACTTCCCTCGAGGAAGCACCACAGCCTGCACCGGCTCCACTCGGCCCTCGGAATTCTTCCCTAACCCTGAGGAGAGACACCAAGGGATTACAGCAAGCGAGGACATCCCCTCCGAGTCACCTCCCACCACAAGCTCACGCTGAGAGCCACAGGCTTTGAACAAGCAAACAGACGTCCGGGGTACAAAAAAAGCCGTTAACCACCATCCAAGCCAAGGGGAGCAGCACAGGCCGCGGCGGGTGCCGCGACAGGAGCCTCCTGCACCAGAAGAATACGCGATGCAAAGCCCCAGGCCATTTGTCAGGCCGGTTTCTGCAAAAGTAGGCTCAGCCTCACGTTCTCAGCTTCTTCTTAAAACTGGTTTGGTTCCTCTGGGAGAACCAGAGACCAAGCCCAGCAGCAGACCGGCCTCCCCGAGCCCCCAGGGCTCAGCACCGTTTGTGCAGCGAGAAGCTAGTTGAGCCGGCTCGGAAGTCTGCCCAGTCTAGAGCCAGGAGATGCTTTAAGACAGACATCAGAAGCTTCATGGATCAGCTCCCTTCTACCTAAAGCCTTTGAACACCTCGTACAATCGTTCTCACGGCTTTAATCATGATCCTGACCTCGATTCTAAAGGCCTCCAAATTTTGTTACTACCATACAGGGGCTGGTGCAGCCTGTGCTTCCTAGAATCCTAGAATTCTTGGGGTTGGAAAAGACCTTTAAGTTCACCGAGCCCAACCGCCAACCCTGCACTGCTAAATCCACCCCTAAACCATGTCCCTGAGCACCACATCAACTCATCTCCTAAACCCCTCCCGGGACGGTGACTCCCCCCTCCCTGGGCAGCCCCTTCCAACCCTGAGAGCCCTTTCCAGGAAGGAGTTTTCCCTAATATCCCATCTAAACCTGCCCCAGCAGAACACGGGGCTGTTTCCTCTTGTCCCATCGCTTGTCACTGGGGAGATGACCCACCCCCCCCAGCTCTGCACCCTCCTTTCAGGGAGCTGTAGGGAGTGATCTCCCCTGAGTCCCCTCTTCTCCAGGATGAACATCACCAGCTCCCTCAGCTGCTCCCCTACGACTTGTGCTCCAGACCCTTCCCCAGCTCTGTTCCCTTCTCCGGACACGCTCCAGCCCCTCCATGTCTGTCTGGCAGCAAGGGGCCCAAAACTGACCCCAGGATTCGAGGTGCGGCCTCACCAGTGCTCAGCACAGGGGGACAATCCCTGCCCTGGTCCTGCTGGCCACACTGTCCCAGGATGCCGTTGGCTTCTTGGCCACCTGGGCACAGTGCCAGCTCACATTCAGCTTTGGTTAAAGAAGTCATCCCTTCCTGCCTTCTGACACTTCCACACGGGTTCGATTCCTCACGCAGCTCCAGCCTTATCTAACAGCAAAGTTCTAGCTTCACCCAAACCCCCTGTTTTTCCTAACTAGCTTTAGGATCCACCATGAGACCGAGGTGACGAGGCAGCCTAAAGAACTCTTCCCTGCCTGCCTTCTGACACTTCCACACGGGTTCGATTCCTCACGCAGCTCCGGCCTTATCTAACAGGCCCTGCAGCAAAGTTCGAGCTTCACCCAAACCCCTTGTTTTTCCTTACTAGCTTTAGGATCCACCACGAGACCAAGGTGATGAGGCAGCCAGGCCCTCACACCACCAGGACCTCCTCCCCTTACCTTTTCCAAACTGGTATCCCATCTGAACAAGCAGTTTGGAGCCGATCCCACGAGTATGGGCTTCCCAGCCACCGAAAGAGGAACTGCACGCCGGAGCCCACTCCCCGTTCTCTGGAGCTCCCGAATCTATCACTGTGGCACAGAAGAGAAGAATCAGTGAAACACAGAACCAAAGCTGCTACGCAAAACCTTCGCCTGGGGCATCCACACAGCGTGAAACCCCGGCACCAGGCAGTACAATGCACTCCCCTCGCCTGGAATCCCTCAGCAGCTCTTCCCGCCGCACACTGAGCTGCCAAGGCTGCAGAGCGAGTTACTTAGATGGGAGATGTCACCGGATTTAACGCACACACCATCTCACAGTCCCAGGCAGAATCATCCAGCTGCTTTTATGCTTCCTTTCCTTCTTTCTAGGCTGGTCACACGGACTGACACACGCCATCAGAGTAAAATTTGGCACTGTGGCATGTCATACATATTCTGTGCCTCCAGCTCCTCTCTCTGGTACGAGGCTCCTCTAGGCCACTACACTAATTCTGTGTTATTTGGGTCCAATCATCTCAATGAGGCTAAACTAAAGAGCTCTAGGACACTACTTTGTCCCTGTGATGTAACTATGGCACCAGCATAGGAACAGTGCTGTCTGTGCAATCTCAAAGAAGCCTCTGGGGGCTCTGTGTCAGCTTCCAGCAGTAAAACAGGGCAGGGCTGTCCCTGCGACCTCATCGAGGCACCGGGAGAACCAAACGCAGTAACTGGGGTCTCGCGTTCTGGTGTCAGGAAGCGACATGGAGCTCCCAGAGACAAGGAAGTCTCCCGATTCACTTATCAGCTCAACTCAGCCAGCCACATAAGAGAGTCAGAGCTTGGAGCTGGGCTCTAAACTATCACACCCTGTTCTTTCAACGTGTGGAAGTTCCCTTGGAAACCTCCAACCTTCATTAGCCCAGTAATTTGCATAAAACAGATTTTAGTTTGCAATTGTAACATAATAGCTAATTACTGTTCTCTATCTTTCAGCAAGATATAAAGAGATTAGCTGCTCTTTCATCAGAGGTGAGACGCTTAACGAAAGCTGCAGAGTAACTCAGCAGGCCCCCGAGAACGGCAGACCCAGGTCACGCTGCCCCCGCTCTCTCACCTTTAGCATAACCAGAATCATCAACACTCTCTTCATCAGAGTCAGCAGATGAGGCACCATCTTCACTTCGCAGCGGGGGAATGACACTATCTCCTTCCACAACAGCTTCCTTGAGCAGCAGGGAATCAAACTTCACGGTGTAGTACCCGCTGTCGATGTCTACAGAAGGAAAAGCAAGGACAAGAGTTCCAGTAAGTCTCCAGTGTGCAGCTGGTAGAGGGCATTCAAAACCAGTCAGCTCCAGTGGAGCAACATGGGAGAGAGACAAGGCTCAAGGAACAGGTGTTTAAAAAAAATAATCTGTTTTTTCGTTGTACTTCAGATTTCTGGCTGGGAGGGAGAAGCATCCACCGCGCAGAAAAGCTATTTCCACAATGCTTGTGTTGATGCCTAAAGGTTTATTTCTAAAAACCAAGATGGGCTGTTGAGAAATGGAATTGAAGTTAGACTTGCTCCCCTCCGACCTAATAACAGCCAAAGAAAGATGGAAAGAGAGAATAAAGCCTCACTCTTCCCAGGACACAGGGAAGCCTGTATCAGGCTGTCTTCAAGGCCAGGCTGGATGAGGCTTTGAGCAACCTGGTCTAGTGGAAGGTGTCCCTGCCCATGGCAGGGGTTTGGAACTTGATGGTCTTTAAGGTCCCTTCCAACCCAAACCTGTCTGTGATTCTGTAATCAGCAGCTGATGGGCAGGGCCAGCTCCCCAGCTTTTGTTTAAACAAGAGCAGGTTACTGCAATTCTAACCAAATACGCATGCAAATTCCTGCAATACCTGCCTCTTCCCTGTCAGCGCAGCTAGATACTCATTTCCTCTCCGCACTCCTGCTCTTACTCTCCTTTTTGTCCAACATTCTCCTGTTTCCTAGCCTATTCCCTTCCCAAGCCTGACAAAATTAACGATTTCTCAGTTACGTCAAGATTTTCAGTTTAGGGCTGCAGCTACATGGCTAACGCTGCTCTATCATTAACCAAAATAGTCAGGTTTTATACCCACTTAAGCATCAGCCTTCACCATCCCCACAGAATCCTGGCAAAGCACGCTCCCACGAGACTCACCGGTTATTTTGGCCGTGTACCATATTCCATCGCTGTGCTTTGCCAGGCAGGCGGAGCCCACCTCCAGCGAGCTCAGATTGGGCTCCTGGAACGGCTGAAGCTCGTCCACAGCCACCACCTGACCATGTGAAAACCTGCCAGGGAGAGCAGAAGAGGAATTAGCTCTGCCTCATTTGAGCAGGCTCTAAATAAAAATTCCTTCTCTCCTTAAAGGAAACGCAAATGAGGCGTCGCGGTGACGAATCTTCACCAGTAACGACAGAAGTTTTATCATGCACTGGTGCAATTACACAGGTTAATCAGTTTTCATCTAAACCACGCTACTTATGTCACGTAACAAAGAACATAGATCCTTTGAGATAAAGGGGATTTCAGACACCACGTCTCCGGGCCAAGCTCCTGCTCCGAGCACAACCAGCTTCAAAGACTGAGCAGGTCACCCAAGGCCTTGTCCAGCGAAGTTCTGAAGATCTCCAAAGATGGAGATTGTACAGCCTCTCCATGTAGCCAGAATTCAGGCACCATCAGCAGATAGCTTGGGTGTTTCATTTTAAAATACCTAATTGGTTACTAATTTAGTCCCTCCGTTGATTACGTAAAGCTTCTGCAACTTGGCCATGGGATTTTCCATTTCATCTCTGCATTAGCTAAAGAAAATGGCCAAGCTGATGCCACTGCTTACCCTAACACCTTCTAAAAAACATAAAGGCAAAATTTCATTTGGTGCAAAAGCCAAACATGGTACTTTCAGAGGAGGTTTATCCCTCTGATGGACAAGGCCTTTAGCTACAGGAAGGACATAACCCCCTTCCCCACCCCTTTTTACCGACAGTTCTCTTTAAATCTGCATTTGTCATCCAAGAAGAACGGGCACGGCTTCAGAGACTTGTGCGTTGGATAGAGATACAGCACTCTGACTCCTGCACTGCCATCTTCCAGGTCCTCCGTCCCCACAATCATGGCATTATGGTACTCCAGGGTACCCCAAGAACTGTAGTAGGGGGCTTTAACCTTCATCCCACTCAACTCCTCCTCCTCCCTATCAGACTCCTCCTCCTCTTCACTGTACTTTGATTCATTTTTGTCATCAGTTTCTTCATCTCTCTTTGATGATAACTCATCCTTATCAGCTGCAGGCTCCTCTTCGGTTCCAAGCTCAGCAATGGCTTCCTTGAAAGCAGCATACTCCTCATCTTGGGCAGAACTGTCTGGGTTGGTGCCCTGCTCCAGACCTGCTGGGGAAGAGGTGGCATTTGTATCTAAAGTAGCCAGAAGTTTGCTCTTTTTAACAGATACCAGGCTGGATTCAGTCAGTTCTATCAGCTGCTTTAAGTCTTCCTGCAACTGAATCAAGTCCGACTGCTGCGAAGGGTCCAGGCCTGCCCCTAAAGCCAGCTCCACTTGCTGCAGCTGGGCATTGTAGGTCTGGATGGATGCTTCCAGACTTTCTTCATCCATTCTCAGCAAAATAAAGGTGTTTAACTGTGTCCTTCCCAGAAACTCAAAACATATTCACAGAGTTTACTGAAGATGAGCAACTTTTTGGACAACAGGCCCTCGTCTGCAGAAGCTACCATATACCCCGCCGTCCTGCTTCTTCCCTCAGAAGTAACCAGGCGATGCTCCAGCAGCGGGCAGGCGGCGGAAGGCAATGAGAGAGCCCGAGGAGAGGCGAGGCGAGGCGAGG